ACCTCCAAAAACTTACAAATTTGTGTCTAAATGTGTTCCAACACAGTGTTTAGAAATGTCATATTTAAAAACTTGTCCTTTTCATAATCATTTCATTCCATTTTAAGAGGTTTTATTACCTTTACAAGGCAAAATGAATTTTTTTAAAAAAACATACACATGCTATTAGAAACATCGAGTTCCCCCCCACACACACTATTATTCTGTCTTTGGTTTGGCTGCTACTTAAGGAAACTGGAGCTCTTGCAAATGAGGACTAATATTTCTGCTACAAAAATAGGAATGTGGATTTTGTTGCGTTGTATGTCGGCTCTTCAATCTTATCTGTGCTGTGTGTGTTAAAAGGTGTGATGTTATTTATTCCACACTGAGTTGTCAGTTTGTCTTATTTTATTTACTGTTTTTTATCCCACCCTTCCTCTCAGGGGCTCAGGCTGGCATTATATGGTTCTCCCCTTTTCTATTATATTTCACAGTAGCCCCATGAGAAATGTTATGCTGACAGAGAATGATTTGAACCAGAGTCTCCCCACTCCTAGTGTACCACTCTAATCACTACCACCACATTGGCTGTCACACCGTGTCTTTATGGAACACTATATAGCTAATTCCCAACGTGCCCCCTCCGTGCGGATATCTAAATCTGCACATAAGGGGCACTTGGGGGGCAGGGAGATTTTCCTGCACATTTGGGGCAATCCCCAGATGTGCACAAAATTACGCTGAGGGGGGGGGGGGAAGGTTTGTTTGTGTAAATCCCTCCAAAAGTGTGTAGTCGGGCTGCGGCGGCGGCTTGGCCCTGCGGAAGAGCAGGTGGTAGCGGAGCCTCCCGCCACCGCTGTCCCCCCCACCCGCAGCCAACGCCGAGTTGCCCAGCTGCTGCTGCTGCCCCAGTGCCCGCTCACCGGCTGGGTTGGGGGGCTGGCCGGCGCAGCGGAGTCCCTGTGCCCACCCATCGCGCCGTGGCTCTCTCCCTTCCTTCTGCAGCTGCCTTCTCTGTGCCTGGCACCCCCCCATCTCCTGGTGGTCCGCCTCGCCGGCACCCTCACACATGGGAGCGCTTGTACCCTTGCGCAGCAGCCCGGCTTCACGTATGCATGCCTCTCCCGCTTCCTCAGCCCTGAAGAGGCATCCCCCGCGAGTATCGCGGGTCCCTCTTGTTATAATTCTATTAGCATGAGATGGTCTTGCAGTATAGACTGCTGCGAGGAAAAACTTACTTGTCCTTCTCCCTTGGTAATCAGCATTGTCAGACAGGGAACTCTTGGATTGTTTTTTTTTTCAGGAGTAATCAATCACTCTGCACATGAGGTTCTCTGGATCAGAACAAGGCAATCTGTTGATAATTAAATAGTTTACACTTTTATCTGCTTTCCTTTCAGAGAACGTCAATCCTAATTAGCAGCTACTCTTTAAATGTGATATTTATAATGCTGGTAACAAATTAGCTTTGATTAGTTTTGAAGTAAGAAGTAAGCACAACATGCCTTAAAATAATTAACGTGAGATTGTTAATTTCATATGCCAAGATCTAGCCAGCCTAGGTGACATACTCCGCTGAGAAGTAATTATTAATAGATATCAGAGACTATGTTGCAACTTAACAACAGTATATCATTATCTCTCTTTTTCACTGCCCCCCGAAACTGAGAGTTTCTATTTGGCTTCTTTGGTTTGAGCTAGGCTTGGAATTTTAACTGATATCAGCAGTTCTATTTTATCTTCTCACCGGGTGGTGTTCTTTTCCCTTAGGTTAGCAAATAAGCAAGACAAAGAAGGTGCATTGGCAGAAGCAGATGTAATTGAGTGTTTGTCTCTTGAAAAGCTTGTCAACGAGCACAAATGCCTGTGTCAGATTGTAAGTTCATTTTAATAAGATCTTATTTGATGACTTCCTTAAATTTGATGCAGGGGTTAGGCTGGAATTGTATAATCCTGTCATGCCATTCAGCCCTACAAAACAGTTCTTGCCTTCATGCTTCTGAGCTCTGGTTGCAGTTGTTGTGCCAAATCAAAGGTTTAAAGATGATCTGTCTGCTGATGGCCCAAACAGTCAAACCCAGCACTGGGTCCTGTACAAACTTTTTACAGCATCCATTTTTACAGTTAGCCTGGTTGGACACTTGTTAAATAATATACTTTTAAATATGAATGTTACCCTTAAGGAAAAAAGACAATAACTTTATTATAATTCAATTAAATAATCCAAGCAGTGACAAATCAGTTTATTTTAAGACTGGAGTAAAGAGGGGGGGAAAAGAACGCTTACACTAACTTTCTTGAATGGTGTACTTTTTGAAGTGATCAAAAATTGATATTTCTTGGTATTTTGACTGAAAAATCCCACCTGCTGATCCATCATCCTTACTCTAGCTCCTTAAAACTCTTGTTTTATCTGTATGTCTGAAGAATTTAGTGCTTGGCTTTTCAGGAACAGGCTCAGTTGCTTCATTTAAGTAAGAGCTTCTTATCTCCCATTATGTTCCCAGATTTTTCCAAGCTTCTGTGAAGAACCTAATTTCACAATGCACAATAATCTCCAAGCAGTATCACCTAATTGGTTTTTTAACTGAGATTCTGAGGTGATATTTCTTCTAATGCTGCTTGGTTTAGTGGCACTCAGAAACTGAAAACACTTTTGCTTGCTTTTTATAAATCTAAAAAGGTTATGTAATAATTTAAAATTATGAGAAGTTATACCCTTTTATTTTCTTTCTGTGTTAAATTAGTATTGGTACACAGTGGTTTTTAAGGCAGTGGTATAGTGTGATACAAATTGGATTCTTGTATAAGTGTAAATTACCTCCAGAGAGTTGCAATCTAGAATACAGAATAGATGGAATTTTCCAGTATGAAAGTGTGCTTGCTTCTGGAGTAAGTGTTTTGGAGTATGGAGGATAGCAGGTATTTTTACATAAGTAATTTTTAATGAGTCTAGATCCCCAAACTGTTTTCTAAACTCAGTAGATGAAAGTATCTTTTGGGGTTTTGTGGAAATAGCTTCTGAAATGGGTTTTTTTTTGGGGGGGGGTAGGTACACAAACCTGTGTTTGTATCTCACTGGATTTCAGCCTTCACTCTTCCATGATGTATTAATAGCTGAGGCAGTCTGAAAACAAACAACAGGAGCAAAATGTATACCTGTTCTTACTGACAAAATAAGAGCTCATCAATGGTAAACAAAATCTTTTGAAAAATTATATGACAATGAAGTGAAGATTTCATTGTTCACATTCACTGTGGTCGAGTATCATGACTGTTTTTCTCTTCCTTACAGGAGCCTTGTTCAGCTATTATGGGCAGTGGGAAAAAAATTGACAAATCTATAAAGCAAGGTTTACTTTGGCTGTTAAATATTATAGCAAAAGATTTTGATACCTTAAATGAACGAATCCAGAAAGACACCACAGAGCAAAAAGCAGCTGAAGAACACGAGAAACGAGAACGAGCTGAACGAGTGAGGAAGATAAGACAGGAAAGGTATTTCCCCCCCTTTTATAAGAAGGGTTTGTGTGGCTGAATGTTATCAAGTTAATACTAAAAAACCATCATGGGATAGATCCAAGCAGCTTTTTCCACTGGAGGAAACCACCCAAAAGGTAATGATGACGATAATGGGACCTGTTTGGATAAAAGCCATGTGGGATAAGGGCTGTAATAAAGATGGTAATAAGGTGAGACTGAACTAAACATAAATGGATCCAACCCTGTTGTATACATTAGCAACTCTCATGATTATGGGCCTATAATAGTGCATCCTACAGACTCTAGTGGGTCCAGGAAAGCCTGTATTAGAGTAGCTGTCAGGGCCTACATTTCCCAGGTCTCCTCTGGACCCTGTGATTGGCTAACAGGGGATTTGGAGAGAAAACTTACACCAGAAGAAGAGTAGAGGGTGGTGCCTGGGAAGAAGGAACAAAAGGCCTTGCCCCAAAGTGGGAGGTGGTTCACTCCCAGGGAGAGAGCTGGGGAGGCTGCTACAGAAGGAGGGATCCCTCATCCAAAAGGGGTGAGTCAGTCTGAGACCAAGTACCTAGAGAAGGCTCGGACAGTATAGTCAGATTTCTTATTTTGCTGGGTTACCTACCTTTACTGTGCTCATTTTTCCTATATGTTATTGGATTGCAGTTGTTATTAAATCTCTTTAATAAAAATAGTTTGTTACTCTGCCTGGGTCCTCGCACCCCATTTGGGCACTTATAAGGGGAAACCTACTGGAAAAAGGAGTGCATAAAGGGGTAGGGTGGGTGCTCTGCTCCCTCCTGAGGAGACCCATACCAGAGTAGTGGCAGCCATTAGAGAACCTTTCTAGCTGCTGCCCGTGACAGCATCTTTTAGCAATATTAATGTGAGCTAGAAGACAAATATTTCGTAATACTTTTGTAGAGGCCGCTGCTCAAGAAATATAATTTCAGACCCCTCACTAAGGCTGCATAACGTCATACAGTTTACTAAGTTGTAGCCTAAGTAGGTGGTAATTATGGCTGTCTCCCCTTTGCAAAACATACAAGGGTACAGCAAATCCAAGATAACAGTTGACAAAGACTTTGAAACGAACTTGCAAGAACTCGAGCTGTTCGTCATGTTTCACCTTAATGCACCTACGGAATAAAGAAGAGAAATTATTACAGCTTTTGTATAAAATCTTTCCTTGTTCCATGATCGTGTGAACTTTTTACAGCAATCATTTTGGGTTTGTAACTGTCTCCCCTTTGCACCAAGGTAATTTCTGCTGCCTGAAATGATGCAAGATTAAAAAAAGGTGTACACCTCCGCTCATTTTACCTAAGTTTTGCTTTCCAGATCCAAATTTTCAAAGACTTTGGAAGTTTTGGACAGTTGTGGAATTGAAATATGCTGCTGTGTGATCGCCACTTTCCCAAGCAGTAGGAAGTTGCAGTTGAAAGGAAGGATTGTTGTAGATTTATGGTGCTTTTTATATTAAGATTTTTTTTAATGGGAAGGTTTAGCGAACAGAATCAGTCTGGCTAGATCCTGGTAAGGTACTTATGCCAGCCAGCAACCTTTTCTGGCAAGTTCCACATTCTGATTCTATTCTCTTTTCTGTCCCCATGCAGCCTGCAAAAACTATTCCTCCAGCCCCCATCCAGGCAGCCAAGGTGTGGCACCAATTCCAGTAACTTGAGTAGTAGCTGTCAGAGACCATTAATCAGTACTCTATTGTCCAACGTACAAAACCTAGACAGAGAGGGCCGTTTTGTGTTAACTGAACAGCATGCTTGCAACGTTATGGAGATCCGGATAAATAGATATAGTAAGGGCACAGACTAGAGTAGTGCTGTAGGATGATAAAGAACTGTACCATACCAATATTCCCTTTCTCAAGACATGCACAGCTGTCTCTGTCTTTTGAGATTGCACTAAACACTATCTTGATGTGTTAAAATCTAAGTGTGACAAACTTACATCAACTTGGAATCACTAGCAAGAATGCAAAGTTCACACATAAGATTAACACACATTTAACTAATTCTGAATAATAAAAGTATTTTAATGAAGTGCTCTGCAGTGCAATTTCGAAAAGCACTTTTGAAAAGTAGCACCATAAATGTTACAGGTACAGAACTCAGCAGAGAGAGTCTCTATTTGCCATCTGTCTCAGTGTCATTCTTTGGACAGATGTAACATTTTTCTGTGGCATATATTAACCTTATAGACTATTAAGATATTGGTTGAGAGTCATCCAGTAGATGATTGCACAACTACCAGTTGTTTCCTGGAAGTTTTGGACCACATTGCTTTCTTACAGTAGAGTGTGAATTCTGCGTCACCCCTGACTGTTGAAAAGTAGGTTATTTATGCCACTTTTTCATTTTGCACACTTAGTGTCAAAATCTTCCGGTGTATTTTTCTACTGAGAAGCCAAAAGGGCTTCTTGGTCTTGACATTCTATAGTTTTCTGCAGATGCTCATTAGGAAATCAGGTGACAAATGAAGATACTTCAATGTCTCCTTTCTCAAACCTTTCAAGACCCCACTTTCTCCCTCCCTCCCACTGTTTCTGCAAGTATTTTCTCTATGACAGGAGAAAAATGTTTTTTTTTCCCCTTGCACTTCAGCATACAGTGATTATGAGCTTTCCATGTCCTCGACCAGGGCCGGGGCCAGGGCCTTCTCAGCCTTGGCCACAGCTAGGCTTGCCAAGCCCCCGCTGGGGGTGGGGGAACCCCCGATTTTCAACCCCTTACCCGCTTTTTTGAAATCTGGCACCGGGGGACAAAATGGCAACTGGAAGAGTGACACTCTGGCATTTTAGTCCTCCAAGTCTCTATGGCTATGAAAGCCATAGAGACGAGGGCTAGAACGTCAGTTCTCTCTAGTGTGCGCTGGTGAGTGATGACTTTCCTCCCTCCAGTCCTGCCCTTGTTGTTTGCAGCAGGAGCAGCCTGAGCGGTTCTCAGAGCCCAGAAGAGTCGAGGGTCCTGGAAGGTAAGGTTTGGGCTGGCCCAGGGCTCTGTCTCATGGTCTTGTTTTTTCTTCCATCCCTCCCAACCCCGGCTGGCTACTGCTCATTTTAAAAGCATGGGCAGTCATTTCAGAGCTCCGTTTTGCCTCTCCCCCCCCCACCGCCTAAAAGCAGGAAGGAGCGAAAGGGAGGCTTCTAATGGCTTCTTCCTATCATTTTTCTGCCTGTCTTTCTATCTTCCTTCTTTCCTTCCTTTCGTTTTTATTTCTGTCTTTCACTCCTCTCTCCCCGTCTTTTTTTTCCTTCCTTCCTTCCTGTTTTTCTCTCTTTGTCTTTCTCTCTCTGTTTTTCTGTCTTCCTCTCTTTTTCTTACTTTGCCTTTCTCTCTCTCTCTCTCTCTCTCTCTCTTTCTGTGTTTCTGTCTTGCTTTCTTTCTATCTCTCTCTTATCTCTTTCTCTCAGTCCATTTTTTTTCTTTTGGTCCATAATGCCTTCAGCTCCACCCCCAAAGTCCTCAGATATTTCCGAAGTTGGACTTGGCAACCCTATCCCCAGCCTGGTGAAACTCTCTGCCAAATGATATCCATGCCCTGTCTGATCTATTAAAGTTTCACAGGGCATGTAAGGCAGAGATGTTCCACCAGGCCTTTGGTTGAGGCCAGCGATGGTTTCCTACACCTTCCCTCCCTCCCCCCTCCAAAAAATCTGAATGCTAGACATGCCATCTGTTTTTGGAATGTTTTAAATATGTATGTTGACTGTTTAATATTGTATGTTTGTGGTTTTAATTGGTTTTATAAATAGTATTGAACTCTCCTGTTGTAAACCGTCCTGAGCCTCATGTAAGCGGGGAAGGGCAGTCAAGAAATTCATTGAAATAAATAAAATAAATGAGCTTTTCTCTCACCCCTAAAATATTCATTAGTATTTGGGGCCATGAGATAAAAAGACTTGTGAAGCTCATAATCACTGTTACCAGCTGATACTTTATTCATAAGTTTTGAAAAATTTAGTTTCTGTACCATCATTATAACTAAAATGCTTACAGTGTCTTGTAGCTCGTCTCTCTCAAAGCAATGTCTGGAAAACATGAGTAAATATGGCACTGGAAGGCAAGCTGGTTTCTTGCGTACTGCATGTTTGGCCGTAAGCAGTTCAAGACAGAGAACTCTCTGTCTTTCAGCCACATTCAGGGATTGAAAGGAGAAGGCTGATGCAGCATGACAAACAGCAAACTGGCAAGAGGGCAGGGGAGGTGATGAGGACGGAGGCAGAGGGCTCTTGGAGCATGGGAGTATCAGCAATGACCACTGTGTCCCTTGGCAGTATAAAGATAGCAGTATGAGACATTGCTGTTGGACATTCTTAGAGCATGCTACTGAGCAGCCTGTAGGTATTGCTTTGTCTACATACCACTGGCCATTTAACTTAAAGCCTAGAAGGCAAAAGTTCTCAGGGTGGACAGGTAGCAGCTGGAAGGCTGATTGCATATTGCACTTGTCCATAAGGGCACTGGGACCACAGTCCAGACCAGGCAGATGGCATGGTTGAAAGAGACATTCCACGCAGAACAGAATTCTTGGGGTGGCGTCATTGACAGATGATGTTTGTGGTAGGAGAGGCGGTAGATTAGTATGAATTTACTCGGGGCCTTCTTAGGCACTGCTCCCAAGCCAGGATACTCGAAGGTTCAGAATGGGAGGAGAGCTAAAGGGGGGCCAGCCACTCTCCTGACAGTACATTCCCTGGTGGCCACTGTATTCAGCCTGTCATGGGCAGATCTGAAGTTGCTGGAATCTTCGGAAATGCAGGGCCCAGTAAATGGGGTACAAAAACCATGGCTGAAGCCCTCATAGAGGTAACAGGAAGTGGTTCAGTTGGGGTAGCGATCAAATAGTGGGCAAAGGGTATCAAGGGCATCAACCTGCTGGGAGGGTTCCCACCTGTCTTGTAGGGCAGCTGTGTTGCCCTGAGGGTGGATGCTTAGCTGGAGAGCCACACCCCACACAGGATCAGGTCAATGCCTGATGGTTACTGATGGTAGTGCCACCCAAGCTAGCTACATGGCACCCATGGGCAAGCAGCTGGCCACTTGGCCAAAGCGGTGCTCTTTTTGGGTGGCATGATGAGAAGCAGAGCAATTGCCAAGGTGAGAGCACCAACCAGGAGGAGCTGTGTTGCTTACCCTTATAGTAAGGCGTTTGGGTAGCTCTTGAGGGGTGGCTGGGTTTCACCGCTGTAGCTCTCCCCCCCCCCCCCCCGGGGGTGTGTGTGCCTTTGCTATTTACAAGTCCATCCTCCCCACAGGCTGTGTGTGGCCCAGGCCAAGGTTAGCCCACAGAACTGTGCCTGGGTCCACTGACCAACAGCTGCCCTGAGCTTGGTGCCCTTATGTAAGTGTCCTTCCTTTGGAATTTCATTGATTCAGTTTCTTTTTCTTTTTTTAAAGAGAACAGAAACAGAGGGAAGAAGCTGAACGTGAAGATAGGAGCATATCGGATGAAATTGACTCTGAGATAGTAGCTGGCAACCCCTTCCAACCTATATCGGCCGTAATCACTGAGGTATCGAAATGTTTGTTTTATTTGATTAACCAAGGATTTCAGACTTCCCTATTTCTGAAATCTGAGTCAGGGTGTTTATGAAAACTTTTCTTCATCCCCATCCTGTTATGGTAAGTCAAGTGTGTGAGGTAATGCTGATCAACAACTGTCCCTGTGTTCAGAGCTGGCTCCCATCCCCAACTTAGCCCCCCTCCCACCGAGGAAACCATGAACAACTCAGTGCTCTGAGGGTCCTTAGCCAGAGAGGAAAGCAGGGAACCCAGGAGCAGTGGCCAGCCCAGCAGGGCAGGCAGTGACAGACGCCTGCCAGGTAGTGGCCCCCACCGCTGCTATAGAGGATGCTGAAGACCTGGACAGCTCAGCGGCAAGCTGAAATGGTGTGGACCAGCTGCCAGGAAGGGCCGGGGCAGGGAGAAGGTGGAGGAGGGAATCTGCGCCTGAAACCTTTAAAAGCCAGGAGGGAAAGCAAAGGACAGACAGAAATTAGAGTGGGTATCTACCCTCCTTTTGTCACTTTCAAGAAGAGACGGGGCTGAGCCCTGATTGGAGCCAGGTTGATTGAAAAGAAACCAGGTGGAGCACACAGGGCCAGAGAGTGAGAGCAAGGGTGTGGTCACTTGGAGGAAAGGAAGAAGACCAGGGTGCCTGAACCCCCCCTCTCCTTCAGCAGGGAGGCTGGCCCAAACCCATTCAGGGTGGCAGAGGATGGGTAAGCCAGTACAGTAAAGGGGAAGCCTCACACCCTAATATTAATAAGCCTTGCTAAGCAGTGATCTATTGTGAACTGCCTTAAGTGTCCCTTTAAGCTGAAAAAGGTGATTGACACTGCAGTCCTATGCAGAGCTATATCCTTCAAAGTTCACTGAAGTCAATTAGAAAATTTTTAATGAATGAATTATAGTATAAAAGGTTTTCAGTCCTGCTATCAGGGGTGGAAAATGGTCAGTAAAATCAGTAAAAGTAAGTTTTTTCATCTTGGTCAGTAATTTGTCAGTTTTTTTAAAAAAATTGGTCAGTGAAGTCAGTATTTCTTTGATTTTTGGGAATGCAGTTTGTGTTTTTCTGTTTTCATTACTACATTTTGGGGGAAACATGATGACTTTCCAGTGAGAAGATTGTTTTTAGTTCAGTTATGAAGTACTTTAAGGACTTTGTTCCTAAGAGTAAAAGTGATTTGGTGAAATCTTCCACAACGTATAGAAACATAATTAAGCACTTAAAACACGAGACAATGAAAGCAGAGGTGATTTTTTTTTCCCACGAGTGCCCGCTTATTTACAAAGTTCACTGGAGTGTTCCAGAAAGAAGAGCCTTTGGTGCATGTGATGCAGAGTGAAGTAAAAACACTCACAAGAGCCATAATGAATCGTGTTTGTAAGAGTTCAGCACCATTGTCTCTTGAAGCCTTCAGTGATGAGCACTACATACCTGTGAGAGAAGTAATCAGTGAAAGTAGAATCTGTGATGAACTGAAAAAACTTTCTGAAAAGAACAGCTACTCTTCTTAATGGGAGCAAAAAAAATTCAAAACAGCCTGCAAACACCTTTTATTCCAATCACCTTTGGACAAGCCCATCCTCAGATATCTTCAATGTTTAGCTCCAGCACAGAGGGTCAAGGAAGGAACCCACAAGGATATAATGAAAGTACCAGCAGCACTCCCAATGGATTTTCCACTGGACATGATTGCAGATTAATGGAAACTTCTTAGACTTGAAGATGAAACTGCCAGTGAAACTCACCACATAGATACATATTGGAATCAGTTCTTTGAAAAGACACACCCATCTGGAGATCCATAATACCCACTGGTTACCAAGGTGGTAAAAGCAGCATTATCATTATTGCATGGTAGTATGGACATAGAAAGAGGGTTTTCAAAAACTGGACACATTTTGACCAATGAAAGAGCCAGGATGTCAGAGAGAACTTTGAATGCCCACCGAATCGTCAAAGAAACTTTATATCATGTATATGATTTTAATATACTTTTATTTTTTCACATGCCAATAAAGGTTGTCTGTCTGTCTGTCTGTCTACATGTACATGAAAACAATGTATACCATGTTAATATCACACAGGAGCTTTTACAGATGGCAAGAGCAGCTCATATTCATTACAAGCAGTATTGTGATGAATAGTGTGTCATTAAAGAGGTGCAAAAAGAAAAGAAAGAAGGGGGGAAGGCAGAGGAGTTAGAAAGCTTTAAGAAGATAGACAGTGAAAAGGATAGTAAACAAGAGAAGGAAGCAAAACTGAAAAAGCTGAGACAACAGAACTAGAAGAGGATGATTGCTCAAACATTGCTAAATGATGCAACCAAGCGTGTAAAGGAGGCTGCTGAGAAAAAGGGTATGGTGGTATTCAACACAGTACAGTTCATGCTAGAAGGAGTAGAGAAAGCAAAGGATGAGATAGTTAGCCAGTGTTATCGATGCAATGAACATGAAATTAAGCAAACTCCGGAGCACGACAGACAGGAGGGCCTGGCGTGATGTGGTCCATGGGGTTGCGAAGAGTCAGGCTCGACTGTGCAACTGAACAACAACAGTTTTACTTTTAAAACACTAGCTTATCAATAGACTGACATTAACTTGTTCAGTAATTTGTCAGTTTTTTGTCAATATTTGGTCAGGGTTTTTTTGTTTTTTTTTGTCAGTAAAATCAGTATTTTTGACCCTCTGACTAGTTTCCACCCCTGTGCTATTGACTTTAATTCTCAAAATGAAACGATTTTTAAATTTTTCATCCCCAATAGACCTTTTGTTAATGTAGTCTCTTATAGAATTTTGTGTCAACTCTTTCCTAGGCAAAACCACCTGATTTGTATCACCATATTCCACTATAAGTCATGCAGTTTATGACTTTACTGTAATATTGCATTATCTATTTTGTTCTTAGTTAATGGTTAAATTTACAACATTATGTACTGTATGTTATGTTATATGTTGTTACTGATGATCTTTGTTGTCACCATATACTTATATTCTTTTGTTTTTGATTACAAATAAAGTTTTAAAAAATAAAAGATTTTCAGATTAGGGACAAAATTGTTATTATGTGTATTGAGAAGACATTAGTTTTGACTTCAATAGAGTTTGTGTTCATTGAAGTATGCTTAAAATTTCAGGCTTAATTTTCAGATATTGCCAATATCAACACATAAGTAACAGTACAGTGGTAGCTAACCTGCTTGGCATATATTCCACTAGGGCAGCTCAAATGTGGCACATATTACTATATGGTACACATAGCACCCTGCTCCAGTGCCTTAATATTATTTTATCTGTATTCTGTTGTGCTGGAGACAGGCTGCAGCCCTGAGCAAGAAAGACTAACCATGAGAATGTCTTCTTTCCAGGAGTACTATAAATGTACTCTGGGGCAAGTGATGCTCTGTCATCTTGGTGCTTGGGGGGTCAACAGTGGGAGAGCTTCTAATGTCCTGGCCCCACTGGTGGACCTCCTGATGGCACTGGTATTTCTGGCCACTGTGTGATACAGAGTGTTGGACTGGATGGGCCTTTGGCCTGATCCAACATTGGCATCTCTTATGTTCTTATGTTCTTATGTCTGTTGCTCGTGCCAGTGGTAGCATCTGCTATTTGAGTTGGCCTGCAGTGTTCTCAGAAAAATAGCAAAGTTGGATTTGTTAAATTTGCTGAAACTACTTCGTTTTATTTTGTAGATACTGCATTTCCATCCATTTGTGCATTTATTTGATATAAATATAAAACTGGCTATAAAAAACCAAAGCAGCAGTGAGATAAATCAACATTAATAAAACAGGAATATAGACACCAGTATCTTTAGAAAACTATGGCTTCTATTCCTGTCTCCTTGCATAATTTGGTAATTCCCTAAGACAAAAGAGTGAGATAATGGGTTTCACAACTTAATGCCTTTTCTTCCTTGGAGTATATGCAGATGTGTTAGAAAAAGTATCAGCTGCTAGTTTTCCCAAATCAATGTAAGTGATTGAAGACTTAGTCTTCCTAGGATGAGACAATTTAAGTACTTTATACACAATGATTTGTTTATGGGATCATCTGGTAATCTGTAGGTATATATGACAATAGAATTAGGGCTATCAACCATATTTGTACAGCTGAACTTTTAAATACCTGACTCTTAAAACCAATTAAAATGTAAAGCTTTGTAAGGCCATGTTTTCCTGAGAGTATGAAGTAACTAAATAATATTCCAAGGTAAAATCTGAAACAGCGTCTAGTGCATGTGAGATGAGTGAGGTAGAAGTTTCTGTCTTCCATCCATCATATCTATAATGGCAGCAGCAGTAATCTAACATGCATAGGCTTCTTGTGAAGCTGAATGAGTTAAAGATTTGCTTAGCACAAATGCTATGTAAATGCATAATCATGACTTGTAAAAACAACTTATTAAACATTTTATATGTACAATATTATTTCAGTAAATCTTGTAGAGTATCTTTTCTGGCTTTTGGTAACATTTCTGCTGCTTTACTCTCCAACAGAAATTTTGTCTTCCACAGTCGGCTTTACTAAAATGTCCTCTTTCTGTGCTTTGTTAGAACGAAAATAAAGTTGAAAAAGAGAAGAAGAGACAGAGGGAGGAGAATGAAAAGGATGCCATTGCCTTAAATCTTAAAACAGATCAGGAGCAAATGGAGACTGAGAGCGTGAACAGTCAGCAATCAAATGACAGTAGACTAGTAGAAAGTTACAAAGCTGCCCTAACACAACGATTGGAACGTGAAAATGAGAATGACCATGACCAGCAGATCTCAGAAAGTCTTGATTCCGGGGATAATGCTGCATTGAATTCAGGAATAGGTGAGTTTTACAGATGTAAATTCTGGACTTGACTTACTAGCCATATTTTTGTTTGTGCTTGCCACACACTTCTCCCCCACTGTTCTGAAATCCACAGAAGACTTGAGAAAAGGCAGGGTATTGGTTCATATACTGGGTGAAAATATAAAACACAGCAGGACAGTCTCCTGCCATTTCTTTGCTTCTGCATCGCATAAATGAGAGTCCAGTCATGGGAATGTGAACAACAGAGAGCATAAGATGCAGTTTTCCCAGCAAGTGGATTACTGGACAAATGCATAGATGGATTGGCTTAAGTTAAAAAATGATACTAGTGAATGTTGTTTTCCCCAGTGTGGGTTTGTTGGTCATAACTGATGAAAAGATAAACTTTTATGCTATTTGTACTCTATTATATATATGGTACATACTCACTGAAAGTCTGTTTACCATATCTCAGAACAAAGTTGCAAACTAGATTAAAAAGTCTCACAAACTGAGTTTACTTATAAGATGCTAAAGTTACATGGCACTATTCTTTATGCTTTTTTAGAGAACACTAAAAAGAAATCAAAGAAACCAAAATTAAAAAGGAGTCACCGAGTAGAACCAGTCAATACTGAAGATACAGTTTCCTCAGATCCTACGCCAGTAGCACCTCTTGCACCAGGTGGGTAAAACACACACACTCATGAATGAACTATAATTTATGGTACATCACTTTCTGAATGCTGTAGTGAAAAGATTTTATTTACTTATTTAGAAAAAAACAGATTTCATACTTATTTCATATTTTTTTTAAAAAGAATAACAACATATTGGTAATAGATTATCTTCAAATGTTTTAGTTAAGTTTGAATATGTAATGAGAAATCCCCCCAGGTGGGTTAGACTAGTAGATAGGTGTTCTAGTAATGGGAGGGGCCATTGATCGGGGTAGAGTATTTGTTTGGCATGCAGAAAGTCACATTATGTAAAACTAGGTGCAAGGCTTGTTGCGGGAAGAGGCAACAAGCCCTAGAAAGAGGCCACCGGAGGAGGCCCCCCACACACTGTCAAAGGAGAGCGCAATGGCTCCCCAGCAGCTAGGCTCGCGCCTCCCCCCACCACGCGCTGGAGGCGGTGGGGCAAGCCAGGTGGCCTCGTCCCTCCTCTGTTGGTGTGCTGGAGGCGGCGGCTGGCAAAAGCGGCAGGCCTCGCCTATCCACAGCGCCGTACACCAGTGGCTCCATGCCCGCCGGCTTGAGGGCCCAGCATGCCAAAGTGGCTGGCCTCTCCCCTCTCCCCAACGGCCGCCCAAGCGAACGAGCGGCGCACGTGGCGGTAGAGCGGCAGCAAGCGAGGGACAGCCGCTCGCTGCCTGTTCCAGCTGCACGCGCACCAAGCCAGCTAGCCTCGTCCCCCCCCCCCCCAGCCAATGGCACGCCAGGAACCTTGAGCGGCACCTGGCAGGCCAATGGCTGAGGGAGCGCATTTTCTCTCACCACCCCATAGGCCGGTGGCCACCCCAAAATGCTTTTATATAATAAAATAGGATCTCCAGTTAAAAGGGTTAGGTAGGAAGTGATGTGAAAGACCTCTGCCTGAGACTTTGAAGAGTTACTGCCAGTCTGAGTAGACAGTACTGACCTGCATGGACCAGTGGTCTGATACAGTATAAGGCAGCTTCATGTGTTCATGTGTGTGCTCAAGCAAAGTATTTTCTGCAATCTTAATTCAAGGTTTTTAAGGCCACTGTCTGTTATATGAACACATGCCTTGATCAGGTTCCTTACAGTCTTAGTAGGTTTTCCTTTCAGTATTGTGAATATTTACTGTATAGCAGTTGATACAGCTTCCCAGGTTTACTAAGATAGGATGCCGCTCTAGGATGAAGGTAAGGGAAGGTAAAAGCCAAATATGTATTGCTGCTTTTTCTGGGCAGTTCACATTCAGCACATTATTCCCATACACCATAAAATGTATTGCTTTATAGATATTTAGTAATGCGTACAAACATCCTCACTTACGGCAGATACAGCTAATCTGGTTTCTGACTGTGGTCCTATTTTTAAAAACAGAAATAACAAGATTTACTTGATTTTTTTTCAACTACAGTATTTTAAATCTAAATTGAATTCTAAAACCTAATCACCTAGTTCTGCACAATAAGTTATTCATTTCACTTTTTCCTAATAGTAGCAAACAAAAAAGCATCTTCTGAGAGATAGTTAGAAATCCTGTTTTATGAAGCCTTCATAGTACAAGGGATTGCCAGCAGAGGGCAAAAATAGCGCACAGGCTCCTCTAGATAGTTGGCATCTTTTGTTGGTCAAATGTTTTTGTAGATATGGGGGGGGGATTTGAAGTCAAAGAATTAATGTCCTGATCATGTGAATATTTATTTGAAAATATATGTACAAGGTAATTGAGGCTCACTCTCAAATGAATGTGTTGCAAACACTAGCCATATTTACCTGTAAGCAGGTCTGACTGCAGACCGGAAGGTCTGGTTCGGCAGTTCGAGACCCTAGTGCCGCGTGACGGAGTGAGTTCCCGTCTCTGGCCCCAGCTCCTGCCAACCTAGCAGTTCGAAAGCAAGAAATTGCAAGTAGATAAATAGGTACCGCTTTGGTGGGAAGGTAACAGTGTTCTGTGCTCCTTGGCTTTTAGTCATGCCAGCCACATGACCACAGAAAAGTCTTCGGACAGTGCTGGCTCTTCTGCTTGGAAATGGAGATGAGCACTGCCCCCTAGAGTCAGATTCGACTAGCTTTCGAGCAAGGGAAACCTTAGATCTGAATGAAAGTAGTTCTGACTTCTTAGCAAGTATGCCTAGGAATGGCTGACAAGTAGGGTTGCCAGCATCTAGGGGGAGCCTAGAGATCTCCCAGAAGTACATCTGATTTCCAGACTACAGAGATCAGTTCCCCTGGAGAAAATGGCTGCTTTGGAAAGTGGACTGTGTGGTAGTATACTTCGCTGAGGTCCCTCCCCTCCCCAAACCCTATCTTCCCAAGGTGCTACCCCCAAATCTCCAGGAATTTCTAATCCCAGAGTTGGCAACCCTAATTACGAGTCTTATTTTTAAAAATATCCTTCCAAGTTGTTCCAGTAGTAACATAAGATAACTGAGGGGCATGTGAAATATGTTTATAAAATTAGGAATGATGTCGGGAATGAATAGTTTTTCTCTGTGTCAAAATACTGGATATCTGGGTCCACCAATTACATTGGTTAGTAGTAGGCTGAAGGAAAAGCACTTTCTCATGCAGCACATAATTAAGGAATGAATTGCCACTCATCACTGAAATAGCTACTAATATAAGTAATTTTAAAATTAGGTTTATGGAGAATAGGTCCCAGCAGTGACCCTTATTAACTGTAATAGCTAAAAAAAGAAATTACCATGACAGATTAGAAGAAGTATAACAGATTATTGATATAGAGTCCAGTAGCACTTTCTTGAGTCACTGCTCACTTCTTCAGATACTCACGAAAGCTCATACCCTACCACAAATGTTGGTAGCTACACAAAGTATTACTGGACTCTTACTCTTTTCTACTGCTACAGACAGACTAACACGGCTACCCATCTAGATTATTGATATATACCACCTCTGATCTGCTAATCAGATGGCTGTGGCAAACAGTTTATATCTGCCAGGTATTTGAGAGAGAGAGAGAGAGAGTGTGTGTGTGTGTGTTAGTCTGTCTACATATACCTTTGATTTAGTATGCAGTTTTTAAGTTCTTTCCTACCCTTGTAGTTTACTTTTAAATGGAATTGTAGGTTTAGTTTGTTGTGAATACCTTCCTATTTTTTAATCACACAGATGAATGTGCTGATCTTTAGATTTCTGTTCGACAATGTAGTGATGGTCTTTGATATTTTTGTTTTCAATAGTTGGCTGGGAAACCCCTAAAATTAACAGAATTCGAAAACTTGAGCCTCTTGGTGAAACACATCGTAATGGTAATTTTAAAGGAGATCACACCTTTTTGTTTGTTCTCACAACCCATTTTGTTTTGCACGTTGGCTTATTCCTTTCATTGCATCTTACCCTGAGTTGCTTTATGAGTTTATTTTCCAGTTTTTAGAAAGATCTACTTTTTCCTAGCTTTTTTAATTGCTTATGAACTATTTGCTTCATTGTTTCATTCAGGACAGATTATGACTCAGTGGTGTATACCTATATCATAAAAAATAATTTTTAAAAATTTAGTAACCTTTCCCATTCTGTATAATATTTAAAAAGTTACATGACACAGTTCAGAGGCAAAACAGAAATTAGGTGCTTATATCATCAGCTACCAATAAAAGTCAGATAAACTAACTTCTAAATTCTGTAAGATAGAAGACAAGTTTTTTAAAGCTTAATCAGAAAGGCAAAGGAAATGTTGCATGCATAGTCCAGAATATGTTGGAGCAATTGATCAGCACAAATAGTGAATATATGGATATCCCTGAACGTGACATGTAAAATAGGATTTGTCTCTAAACCTTGTTAGCTGTTCATGAAGGGATCCAATTTAATTATTGATCTTAAAATATAGGAGGCTTCTGATAACAGAGTTCTCTTAGCTGAGTTCTTTAAATTCCCACATAGCTATTAGGGGGAATTATTTTGTCCATCTTTGTTCAAGATCCAGTGCTTTTGTCCTATAGCATGTCCATATTATTATAAACATTCCTGTTAAGCAGTGTTGCAGTGGTAGAACCACATATCTCTGCAGTAGAATGCACATTTGGCATGCACAGGGTTCCAGGTTCATCCTCTGGTATCTCCAGTTAGAGGATCTCTAGTAGAAAAAGCCTTTGATAATGGTGGGCCAGTGGTATAACTCACTATTTAAGGCAGCATATTAGTATTTTTCAAACAATAACAATTTATTTTGAATATTTGTGATGGTAAGCACAAATATTATGCATTGTAATAACAGCAGTGATTTAATATACTTTAAAATGAATTTGTATAATAAAGTTCACCTTTGTTTTTAAGGCATATAAAAGGAAGAAGACAAGAGAAAAGACAGAATAAAAGAGGTAGGGAGGACAGGACATGCCTTCTTGATTACATTTGCTTTGCTCAAAATAAGGCAGCCTGCTTAGTGGCTGGAGCATGGGAATGGGAATCAAGAAATGTATATCCTTAGGCATGATGCCTGTCTTTTTCATCTCATTTTCTAAAATACTAGGAGAAAGGCCCGTTGCAGGTATGAATGCAACGGGCGCTAGCGGGTGTGTGGGGGTGGTCTGGGTCCGCACGTCGCCGGGGCCCCCCCCCCCCGTTGCAGGCGTCCCGGAGAGTGGCCCTGGCTCGCGCAGGTGACTAATCTTTTAAAGCGGTGGAGGCGAGAAGCGAAGGACATGGGGAGGCTGACCTCGGTGGGTTGTGTCCTGTCGCCGCGCGGTCCAGGCCAGACGTGGAGAGGGCGGGTGTCCGGCGAAACGGGAGCTCCTTGCAGCCGAGGCAAGGCGGGCAGGAAGGGGCGGTGTCTGCCGCCGCCTCAAAGGGCGAGGCAGCAGCAGCAGTTGGGGTTGGTGGCAGCGGTCGTGGGGGGCTCGCCTGGCCCCCGAGGGAGGCAGGTGGTGGTCTTGGGGGGACTTGCCACCGCGTGTCGCTGGAGCGCGCTGTCGCTCGCCTTGGCCTCTCCTCCGAGGCGGGCAGGCGGGACCGGGCCCGAGGCTGTGGGCCAACTGCAGGCCTGGCTGGCCGCCTCAGGAAGAAGCACGGCCGGCAAAGGAGTCCTCTCCGCCGCGTCCTGCGCCCGTCGCAAGCGGCAATGGGGATCCCCTGAGGCCCTAGCTCCTCCCCACCCACCCACGCGCCCCCCGGGCGCGCAGAGTGGTGGCCGAGTCAGACGGCGAAGCGGGGGCGGCGGAGCGGGGCCCGGTCCCCCCTGCAGAAGTGGCCGCAGTTACCCTGGCGCAGGGCTCGGCGGCACAGAGAAGGTGGACACGGCAAGCCCCTTCCCGCCCGCCTTGGCTAGTGGGGGGGGAGTGCTCCGAGGCGGGAGTTAGGCGCGACATCCAATGGATGCCAGGGAAGGTGCTGACGGACAGGGCATTCATCCACACACTGTAGGTGTGCATTTGCGTGCCTCTGCGTCTTGGGGGGGGAGTGCTCCGAGGTGGGCGTTAGGCGAGATGTCCAATGGACTCCGGGGAAGGTGCTGATGGACAGGGCATTCATCCAAACACTGTAGGTGCGCATTGCGTGAGTTTGCGTTTTACAGCTTTATTATAAGGGAGAGATAAAATGGAAAGCTGGGACAAGTTTCAGAGCAAGAGATATTTATCTGGATAGCAGGAGGTATCTCAAGTTGGTCCCAATGGGATGATGTTAACTCATCAGTATCTTTCATGGAGTTTCTTGTATCCTTATTGAAAAACACCAATTCTTGGAATTTAGGATAATACAGTTGAATCCGCGTGCCTGTCAAGGGCTGTTTACCATGGCTTGCTCGACCACTGAGTGCTGTTTAGGATCAACTGCTATAAAGTACAATTCTAAGACTTCGGTGGCTCTTCAGGAGCTCCGTTTTCTCTGCAATTTAGGTGCTTGTTCTTTACCCCCCCCCAAAAAAGTGACACCCTGGCTTAGTTATAACAACTCTATACATCATTCCTCTATGATACAAAGTGAATAACTATCCATTTGTTTACTTCTCATTTGCAGGGCTTTTTTGTAGAAAAGCCCCAGCAGGAACTCATTAGCATAATACACCACACCCAACAGCAGAAACTCATTAGCATATTAGACCACACCCTGACAGTGTGGCTCATTAGCATATTAGGCCACACCCCATGCCTTCCCTTGGCTTGCCCGGGCGCCCTTGAAGGGAAGGCAGTTTAAAAAGGCCGGGGAAGGCACGGGGAGGCATTTAAATGCCTCCCCAATCCTTCCAGGGCCCCCCCGGCTCACCTGCCTTGGAGTCGCCGGGGGGGTTCGCTCTTCAGGCCTTCCCTCTGTAGCCACACACATGCAGAGGTTTTGGCTGTAGTTAGCGTGGTCTACTCTGAAGCCAGCCGGAACTCCGTTCCTGTGCGTTCCTGCCCAAAAATAGCCCTGCTCATTTGTATCCTTTTTAAATGCTGGGTATAGGTTTAATTCTATACCTTTTCTTAGCTGGAATTTTTTCAAGCAGTACCTAATGGTATCTATTATATTTAAAGAAATAATGGCCGGGGTCCGGCTTACCTAAGGGACCACCTTTCCCCATATGTTCCATGAAGGGCACTTCGGTCGGGGAGTCAACATCTCCTGGAAATTCCAGGCCCCAGGGATGTGAAATTTGCTGTTACTAGAGCCAGGGCATTTTCGGTGGCGGCTCCTACCTGGTGGAAGGAGCTCCCGGAGGAGATCCGGGCCCTGCGGGACCTATCTCAGTTCTGCAGGGCCTGTAAGATGGAGCTCTTCCACCAGGCTTTCGAGTAGGAGCCTCCGCCACTATAATTCCACCACCGATAGGTATGCAGCATCGCACCACTACCACCAATATGTGGTTCCATCTGGGTGCGAGGTGACCCTAGAAGGAGAGGGGATGACAAGTTGCGGGATCAATGCCATTCGACCAAGATCTACCTCATCTTGCACTGACACTTTGTTATTGTATTGTATTGTTTTATTGTTTTAGACTGTTTTATTTGTTTTAATTCTGGCACATGTGCCCCGTTGTTAGCCACCTTGAGCCTCCGGGGAGGGCGAGATATAAATCCAAAAATAAACAAACAAATAAGAAATATGAAATTATTTCATGAAGTATTTTTATTTTTACAATTAAGATGTAAGCTACTTAGGTTGTTGGAATCAGAATCTAGGCATATATTCTTGTATGGTCTAGGTTCCTCAGATGTCTGATAATAACATGCTTCCGTTCTTAGGGAAGTGTTACACTTAGGCTGTGGTCACACACACTAAATAATCCACTTTCAATCCACTTTCAGTGCACTTTCCAACTGGAATTTTACTGTGTGAACTGGCAAAATCCAGTTGGAAAGTGCATTGAAAGTGGATTATTTAGTGTGTGTGACCGCAGCCTTAGATTAGCATAAGGGCAGAATCTTCACATAGTAAATAAACTGAGCCAATTCATTCAGGTACCTTCATCCAGGCAATGGGAAGACATATTAGAGCTCCACCATTTCTTATACACATATTTGTGAGTGATGTCATTGAATTACAAACTGGACGTTCACGTTACATATTAAAATTAGAGACTGAGGTTTGAGGAAATGACAACAAAATCACAGAACGCGATAAGCAAATATTCTTGATTAGTTCACTCAAGCTAAAAGAAATGTACACATCCCATGTTGACCAAACAATCTTTAAATTTAACCAACAGTTTAAAAGATGGAAGAAGCATCTTTCCTGTGTGTCGTAACTAATCCTACTGGTTTCTAAATCGATGGGTTTCGTGGAAACCCTAAACAATGCTAAGTAGAATTACACCTTTCTAAACTTGATGACTTAAATTGATTTCGAAAGGTATTAAGTTGGTTTAGGATTGCACTGTTAGTTTCTAAAGCAGTAGTTTCACATTCTCTAGCCTTGGCAATAGCATTCTTGGAAGGCATAGGATAATGTCATTTGATACTTTCTATCTCCATTTAAAGCAAACTTTGGTTATAATAGTCAATAGGCCATGGTGCTTATAGCTAGCAGAATTCTGAAAGTTTCTGTTGAACAAGCAAGACTAGAAACATCTGGCTTTAGTTCAGATTCAGGACAGCAAAGCCAGGTCATAGGCCTTTACAATTAAATATGAATATATGCAGAATGGATGTAAAATAAATAATGTCCATAGTCCTGTGATGAAGTCTACTTTTAGTGCCACTGAGAGTCAAAAAAAAATCCTAAATGCTGCTTGCATTCACTTTTCCTGTTGCCTTCTGAGTAAACAAGCCAACTTTTTGTTCCTTCTTTTCTAATTTTGCATGTACTAAACCTGCATGTATTGTGCTGCTATAATTGTTTGTGTAAAGGATGTTTCCATTGCCTCATGGGCATGTTCAGAAACTTGGCATTAGGGGTCTTTTTTTTCTTTCTCAAATCCTGTTTATCACAGGGAACACACAGCATTGTCTAAAATGTTCTCCAAATGTCTGATTCAGAGGAGAACGAACAGATCTGGTGCCAGCACCATGGAAGCCCACAAGTGTTGAGTGTATTCATGTTACAGTACAATCTTAGCAATCAGTGGATTTGGAAGGGTGTACCTCTGCTTAGGATAAGACACCCAGTAGTGTTCATTGCTGCTTTGCCTTTTGTGCTTCATTTCTGGCTGAGAGTAGTGTGGGGGGGGGAGTATTGCGATGCAATGATCCTCTGAGATCCTCCCTTTTTAGGATTATTTCTTGTAGACTTCAGCTTATCACCACTGCTTGTGAAGCAGAAGGAGATAGCAATGGCATCACCATCATCATAATGTGTTTGTGTGTGCATCCAATAAGATGGACACAGTAATCCATTTGGATTTAGATTTTTTTTCTTTTTCCATATTACTTTTGACTGCACATATCTAATTTATGATTATAATTTTAATAATTCTAGATAGTGTTTCTGCTGAGATAACCAATCATAAGGACATCCATGGGTCTACATCAATTATGTGCTTTTGTGCCTGTGATCACATACCTTTTGCTAATTTGAAATCTTAGAACTATGTCAGATGTTGCCATTTACCTTCTGCACATCATGTTCATGACCATCAGAAAAAACAACAAATATAAAAGACTAATAAAACAAATTATTTGTTGTTTCCATCAAGTCACAATTGACTTATGGTGACCTCATAGGGCTTTCAAGGCAAAAGACATTCAGAGGTGGTTTGCCATTGCCTGCGTCTGCATCACAGCCTTGGTATTCCTTGGTGGTCTCCCATCCCAATACTGGCCAGGGCTTACACTGCTTAGCAGCCGAGATAGCCTGGGCTATCCAGGTCAGGGCAAAGAAATTATACCCTAGGTCAAATATGACTTGGTTTGTGAGTTCATGCCAGTCAAGGAGAATTGTAATGTCAGATGGAACTCGAAGTTTCCTCATATTTTGCTAAATTAGCAGAGAATTATATATACATGACTAGCCTATTCTTAGAGTTGGTAACCTATGGTGAAAAATATATTAACATTTTTTTCCATGTGTGTATGTTAGATTTCTACGGGAAGCCCCTACCCCCACTGACAGTACGGCAAAGACCTAACAGTGATTCCCATGAGGTGATTTCTTAACCAGGAGTCATGCAGCAGCTTTAAAAAGAAACATGCAGTGTGGAAAAGGAACACCCATATTCAACGTTATTTTCTTACATGATGAGAAATTTGCTATTCTTAAAAGTTGCTGGGTAAGACACTCAGAGTGCCCTGGAGTTGCAGCAAAAAGAATAGTGGTGATGAATTCAGCTGTCATAGTCCCTTCTTGAGTCACCAGCTCTTCAAGAGTTTATGTGGACTGAGAAAGTTTGTATTAGTAGAACTTTTGGAGGTTCGTTACTTTTTTCCTTTGTCAGAACAGAAAAATGTATCTATGAAGAAAACGACTTTCCAAGACCAAAATACAACTTTACTGTGCGCATACAATGACTGTTTCTGGTTAAGCATAGCAACCAGTATTTCTAGATTTAGCATTTCAGAGATTTGTTTTTTGGAAGACCTGTGCATGTGCAAATGAAAGAGTATGATATATACATTTTAATTATTTTTATATTTTTCTAGTATGTTTGGGTTAACGAAACTATTTTGAAATATTGAAGTTCATAGTTATATTCACAAGCAGAACATACTTCTGAATGTCATATTGTTTTTAGCAACAGCAATACAGTTTGCCTGTGACTTGCTTCACAAGTTGCCCTTGCTGTTGTCTTGTTCAACCAGGAGGAACTGCATGCTCACATGGGTGCTGCAGTTGTTTTTCCCCAGCTGAAAAACCTATTCCAGGAGCTGGTGCTACATACAATGTACCCATGCCAGTCTACTGGGATCACATCGGGCATGTGTTCTGGAGGTGAGTGGGAGGACTGAATCCCTGCCCTCTGTTCTAACTTCCATTCCCTGGCTGATGATTGGAATCATTCCAAAGATTCTGGGATACCATGCACTCAGTCCCAGTTCTTGTTTTCCTGGGCGGGGGAAGACAAGCATTGTACCCATTAGTAGCATGTGCATTTCCTCTTGTTAAATTAGGGTGATTTGTGTCTTGATCTCATGTGATAAATGAGATTATATGTAAAATTATGATAGTTTTGTCTGTGGAATATGTTATAATCTCAAGAATTGTCTGTCCAAAGGCCTAAAATGGCAAGCATCTAAAAACTGGAAGCAATTCACACTTCATTATTTAGGTTATGTTTGTTTCCCATAATGCTGAACTGATTTTCTTGCAGTTCCACTTGTAACACTTTCTTGCCCAGATTCAGAGGCTCTAGCGTGTGTGTGTATAGTTCACTTTTATATAAACCTGTGGCACAAATATGGCCTTGGCATTAAAGTGAATGAGAATGCTTCTGCTCATGCTGGGGCTGAGACATGTACATCAGAGAAATTGTTCTTTGTTCTGTACGCATGGGTCTCATAAAGAAATTAACTTCTGTATCATAAATAAAAATGGCACAATTGAAATGTTAAGTTATGTTATTAACTAATTTGACTTCACACCCTTTGTATACAACCAGTAATATTAAACATTATTCAACATTTTATATTTAAGATAAAACTGTGACCAAATAACTTTTGCATTCAAAGCTGGTTACTTCTCCCATGTCTAAAAGTGATGTAAACATTCATCAGTACCATAAATTTAAAAGCTGCATGAATTTTAGTGTGGGGAGAATACTTCCTTTGTAAGCCAAAAATGTCCCATAGGATGGTTTAAAGATTAGTCCAAAGCTTTCTGTTTTGGGACACAACAGAGCTTGACAGTTTAGCCCATCTCACTGTGATTTTTCTCTCTGTTCTCTGAGCCTTCCTTCCCCTTAATTAACATGCATTGAAATTCAAAGGATGATCAAAATAATTCTGGGGACTCAAAAGAAAAGAAAAACCTACCTGGCTTTTTTGGTACATGTATATTACACACATTTGTTAACAGCTGTTAAACATATTTGCTATGGGACCAAACCAAAATGTATCATAATTTTTATGTATTAATGTAATTAATTTTTATTGTTTTTCCTCATGAGTGTATTATTTGCTGAATGTAAAATATAGAGATTTTTTATGTCTGAAGTAAAAATAAATATGAAACAAAGTCTTAGTGCAATATTTAAGGGCTAACGGGACCTTGCCAAGAGTCTGACTAAAGATGGAATACATGGCTTAGCTATGTATGGCAGTTGTTAGAAAATCCCCTTCTGCTATGTGCAGTCATTTCCCATGCTTCAGTCTTCCATCTAGCCTAGTTTTCCATATCCATTTATGTAGTATTCCAAAGGAAATATCCTTATCTCTAATTTTGTGTATCTTCACCATAAACTAAGTCTGGTTACATGTTCTGTTCCTGGTCTTGCTTATTTCCTCAGCATATTGTTACTTCAAGCAGTAATGCTATTTGCATAGCATGTCTGTCAGAGATGTCCTGTCTTTAAAGACTACCAAAATGTACTGAACATCTGTTAGAATGAAATTCAATAATATTGGTAGTTCGATGTCTTTTATTAGAACCTGCTAAAACATGATGACCCCCTCATGGTTCACTGCCTTGTCGTGGCGAGGGGGCTTGCGTGGTTCAATGAAGCTGTGGGCTATGCCGTGGAGGGCCACCCAGGATGGACAGGCCACAGCAGAGAACTCAGACCAAGCGTGATCCCCTGGAGAAGGAAATGGCAACCCACTCCAATATTTTTGCCAAGAAAACCCCATGGACAGTATCAAAACCTGACTGTTCCCAGGAATGGAAGATGAGCCCCTCAGGTCGGAAGGTGTCCAATATGCTACTGAGGAAGAGCAGAGGGCAAGTACAAGTAATTCCAGAAAGAGTGAAGCGGCTGGGCCAAAGCCGAAAGGACGCTCAGTTGTGGAGGTGTCTGATACACAGGCTTGTGAGCATAAATGGAGAAATACATAAACAGCGCACTCGGCCGGCCGGTTGAACAAGCTATTCTAGGTCGCTGGCGGAAGATATCGTCTTCGAATACTCCCCTTGAGAAACCCAGTTAAAATTGTGCGCATCAAGGGGAGTCGCTCAACCCTACTTAGTCCCTGGTGAGCTGCTTTGCTACTGTCTGGGAGATTTCATTCCTTCCGCTTACGTGGAGGAGCATTCAAAAAAGCGATCTCCCCTCCGGATGCCTGAAATGGTACCGTCCGTTTGTAGCCGGCTTGCCCCGCACGGTGAGACCAGGCCGGAGTTTCCTGCGGTCTCCGCAGGAGGGCGGCGGTTAGCGCTGTTCGCAGGCAAAAGGTTCGCGAGACGCCATGTGGCTGCTCCGGCGCCCGGGACCTTTGCCCGGGATAAACCCCCATTCCGCCGCTCGCCAGTTCAGGAAATCACACTCGTCTGTCCTGCAGGAGGTGAGCAGCCAGCAAGCAAGAGGAAGGCGAGACGTCGCTCCAGCTTTTCTAGGTCTCGTTGCAGCGACGAAAGAAACACAAAGCCGGCCGCGCTTGACAGGGATCGGCTGGCTGTGCTGCTTTCCAGTAAAAGCAAAACGGTCTCCTCCTTCCCTTTGAGGCCCCGCAAATCCTGGGTAGATGGGGGCGGGGGTTCAGGTTGGATTGCCCCTTTACAGGCGGAATTAAATCTGCAGCCTTCTATGCCTCGCTGAGAGAGCAAAGCAGCACTGGGCTCAAAGGGGAGTGTTTCTGAGTCGGCACGGGTAGGATTGGGTTGTGAAGTGCTGAGAGCTGTTCAGATAGGCCAAGAAGGCCTGGGCGTAGAAGTCAAAGGGCGTGGCGGAGACTAGAGCCTGGAAGGGAGCCCTCGTCTCCGGTGTCAATAGAAAGCGAGTTTCTAGCCTTTCAGTTGCGCTCGCCCGCTTGAGACGGTGCAGACGACGCGCCTCTTCCGCCCCAAGCAATTTTTTTGTTGTTGTTACTGCTGTAGGGGAAAGTAGGTGCTGGACTGCTGATTGTGCAAATTGGGGGTGGGAGGGAACAAATTTGGAATGTTGGTTCTCACATTACACCGTTCCTCTGAAGAGTCTTAAATTAGTTTCATTCAGGGATGTTTAATATTCTAGTTTTTTACAACAGTATGATGTCACTCCCCAGCACTCATGTCTTTGTCTTTATTTATGTCTTGAATTTGTATCCTGCTGTTCCCCAAAGTTCTCCTTTCCCCATGGTATCTGTGAGGTAGGCCAGGTTGAGAGAAGGTGACTGGCCTGCTACATGGCTGGATGGGGATTGGAACCCTGGTCTTTCCAGCCCTAGTCCTCAGCAAGCGCTCTGATTTGTAAACATCAGACTGTGAGGTTGTGAGTTTGTTTCCTTCCCATTCTTTTTAATCTCCTACCCTTAGGTTTTACTGTATCATCGCTCTGCAAGCTCTGTGTAAAGGTTATTGAGGTCTTGCAGAAGATGCAACATCCTAGGGGATTGAATTAAGTGTTCCTGCACACATTCACCTGTGTACACATGCATTTCCTTTAATTGGGTAGAGACAAAGATTTCGAGGTTCTCTGGAAAAAGGGAGTGGTGCAGTTTTATTTATTTATTTCTTGGACACTAAGCACTAAGGCCATGTGCATTTTAGTGAAATAACATGATGTTACTGTCAGATCTGGGATTATCACTTCTGCAGCTTCCAGAATATTTATGGTTCTAGGTACCAGTGTCCAGTGCTCCCTCTAAGCTGTGAAGTCTTGTGAGCAAGAATTCTACTTTGTGAGCTACTGGCATTAAAGTTGTGAGCGAGTGCTTTGGCTACTGCATAAATTAGTTTGCTCTGGAGCCATCCTTCCTGAGCTAAGACAGAAATGTGTGAGCTGTAGGCTAAAAAACTGTGAGCTAGCTCACACTAACTCAAGAGGGAACACTGCAGTGGTATATTTAAAGTTTGTCATGTGTTGTAATGTTTAGAGTGTTGTGCTAGACTGGAAAGACCTTTAAGGCTCCACTCTGCCATGAATTCATTGGATAACCTTGGGTCAGTAACTGGCTCTCATGCTTTCCCACTTCACAAACAGGGCAAAAGGGTGAAATCAACCAGTATGTAGAGCCTTGAATTCCTGGATGGAGTGTGGCACAAAATAAAATAATCAGAAGCAGTCTCTGGAGAGGTTTCTGAATTTTCTAAATAAACAAACATGATCAACATCAACGATCCTTAAAATAATCTGCAGTACCTGAGAGACATCTTTTGCATCTGTGGGGCATCAATGGTAGTGGGCCATCAGCAGTGATAAGAGCCAGTGTGGTTGTGGTAGTTAGAGTGTCAGTCTGGGGTTGCAATCCTAAAAACAGTAGTTAGTCCCATTGAACTCAGTGGTGTTTACTTCCGAGTACTCATGTTTAGGATTGCGTTATGGGATCTGGATTAGGATTGCGTTATGGGTTTGGGTTAAAATTTTCATATTTCCATCAAAACTCACTGGATGGACTTGAGCCAGTTTTATGCTTTCAGGTTAATCTACCTCATAGGGTGGTTGTGAAGTTAAAATAGAGAAAGGATAATTACATGTTTTGTCTTGATCTCCATCTCTCTGGAAGAAGACAGAATAAAAATATACTTGATAAATAGATCACTGTGACTAATGCAATGTGGACAGTGGTCAATTTATAAGAATTATTTTTAACGAAGATCTTCATGCACCTTTTTATCACCCCCTTAAGAAACTATGTAGTCATCAAAATCTCTTTTATTTGCCTGTTACACTTAGATATGAACTGCATTACTTTTGTATAAAGTATGACGGAGTACAGCCTTTGCCTAGTAAATATTCATGTATGCCTTTTTTGTCTTTTTCTGTCCAAGCTGAAAACAAAATCAGGAGGAAAGCTTCAAAAGCAAATATGCCAAGGTGTTCTCAGTCATTTTGAAAAACAGTACTCCAGGGAGTTGGGAGAAGCGTGGAATTCAGTCAGGTCGATTTCTGCTTCTTTTTCCCCTCTCCTCCTCCTTACTCCCCCAATGCCTCATAAAATAATTACCTTAGAAACAATTCCACAAAGTTCAAACTCATGTGGAACTGTCAGATCCCTCCCCCTCAGTATGAAGGAGTCCTAGATGAGATACAATCTGATGTAAAGAACGATGGCTAACATCTGTATCTTGGTGGGAGGGAGTGCTTGTTATTCTGTGGTACAAGTGCTGAAATAATATTTTGCTGCACTCTCCAGTGAGTGGTTATATGAACACAGGAAGCTTTTCTATACCTTAACAGACCATTAGCCTCCTTGTTCTGCATTTCTGTCTACAGTGACTGGCAGGAACTCTTTATCAGAAAGAGCTTGAACACTGGTCTGTCTTCATATGATGCATGTGCTCTAAAAATGAGTCATAGCCTTTCCTCAGATTTCATAAATGGTAGAATATCTCTAGTTGTTACAGCTTGAAAGTAATATTATTTTCCTTTCTAATGAAACTGGACAAACACTTTAATAAACCTTGATAGAAATTTGGCAGGACTTCTTGGGGCCAGAAAAGTTATTCCAGGGCTGATTCTTACCTACTGCCTGGGCACTATTTTGCCATCCCCAATATAAACAAAGAGGGCTAATTGAATACAGAAAGCCCCATAAACATGAACATTAAGTTTAATTTTACATACACCAGTAGAATAACTTTAAGCAAGAACATTTGGGTTTAATTTTACATACACCAGTAGAATAACTTGAGTTTGTTTTAGCAAGTTTACAGACATCATCCTCAAATGAGTTGGTTATTTATAAATTGTGCAGAGAAGAGTGCATAGAGAGCATTTGTTTATCATGCGAGAGTTGCACTATAAGGAAGGCCAAGCTCCGAAGAATAGATTCTTTTGAACTATGGTGCTGGAGAAGACTCTTGAGAGTCCCTTGGACTGCAAGAAGATCAAATCAGTCAATCCTAAAAGAAATCAACCCTGACTGTTCCCTGGAAGGCCAGATAAAGAAACTGAAGCTCAAATACTTTGGCCACCAAATGAGAAGGGAGCACTCACTGGAGAAGACCCTGATGCTGGGAAAGATTGAAGGTCAAAGAAGACGGGGATGGCAAAGGATGAGGTGGTTAGACAGTGTCATAGATGCAACGAACATGAAGTTGAGCAAACTTCAGAGGGCGGCGGAAGACCGGAAGGCCTGGCGTGAACTGGTCCATGGGGTCGCGAAGAGTCGGACTCGACTGTGCGACTGAACAACAACAAATATTTTGCACTCATTTAATGAAATAGGATTGAGAGCAGTGTCAAGACAGACAAACGTAATATTCTTTGCACAATGTATACTTAATTTATGGAATTGTCAGAGGCTGTGGTGATGGCTAATGTCCTAGATTTCTTGACAAGGGATTTAGATTTGTAGTAGAGAATGGACTGGCTGTGTCGTTCTGAATACCAGTTGGTAGGAGGACAACAGCAGAGGTGGGCCATTTCTTTTGTGCCCTCCTGGTGGTCTTCATGGAGGCGCCTAGTCCGTTATTGTAGGAAATAAATCAACATTTGATTTGATCAAACAGGGCTGTTCTTGGCCCTGAAGCTTGTTATCAAGATTACTTGAGGATGTGCACGGCAAATATCTTTCCTTTGCTTCTTGATTACCCAGTCACCGTGTACATCTAGTCTTCTAAGGCAGAAGGCTGACTTCCAGGCACAGTTTAGCCCTGGCACCTCTTATTTCAGATTATGTCCTGGGAAAACATATTAATTTATGTAGAACTGTTGCTTAAGTGTAAACTACCACCATGTACATAAGAAATTATTGCATATCCCTGCCTTATAAAGTAGCAAGATAGGGGAGGAAAGTGATACAGGCAAAACCCTTCTGTAGTCAGACACTTATTGAACAACAGTGCCCTTTTTTAATACAGTTGGCAATCCTTTTTGTTTTCCTTTGTGCAAATGCATATCCAAGTGCAGTAACATGTATTGTTGTACTTTAAATCTCCAGGAGAGTGCTCACAACGCCCCAATGTTGGCAGTATGCTGTCCTCCTTAATCCATTCCATTTTTCCTCTGAAGTGGAGAATGACTTGCTTTCAAAGGATTATCGGCTCCTTTTCCCAGAATCCTCATCCTGCTTTCGACCATCATTCAAGTGTTACATCACTAGTGCTCCTGGTAGATTCCCTGCTCAGAAACACAGAGCTGGTAGACTGAAGGAATATTATCTGCTGAATGCAGCTTCTGTTCTGGCAGTGCTGGCCCTGGATATAGAGAATGGGGAGAAGGTTTTGGATATGTGTGCTGCTCCAGGGGGTAAATCAATAGCAACACTTCAGTATGCTTGCCCAGGTAATGCATTGTGTTCCTAAACCAATTAGCAGACACAAATTGGCTGCTAGCTTAGTTAAATAACTTATTAAACAGGTTATTTGGAAGCTGGTATTTTGCATTCATTAAGAAAGTGCTGCCGGAGTTCCTTTTCGCCCTATTGCAGTGAAAAGCTTGGAAGTGTTGGTAATGACTGACTCAGCACATCAGGAAGTAGTATAATTTCTATCTTGAATGTGATTTGTGTATTATACCCTTGCTACCCAGCACATTGTTCACTGTTTATCAGTTGCAGGTACATGAAAATAGGTGTTGTGCAGTCCTTGGGTATTTTCACATATTCCGTCACTCTAATTTTGCAGGGTCAGCTTGAAAGAGAAACAAAGCAATCTCACAGTGCTAGTGAAATGATCCCTAAAAAGAATGCTTCCCAATATGTGGCACAGAGGATGCCTGCAAAGGAAAGTCGTGTATGTTCTAAGATGCAAGGAGATTAGAGTACAGACAGTGGCTCTGAATATCTTTTAGCAGCTGGATGCTTTCAGTTAAAATTGGAGGACACTAGATGAATATTTCATAATAACAATGTTATTATAGAGCTCATGAGAATAAAAGATGATATCACAGCTGTTGGATTTAGACATGGTCTAAAAGACAAATACACAGCAATGAAACCACCTATAATAATGCATCAACAGGCCCTTCTCAAGAGGTGGCCTTTTGCATCAGGAATGTGATGATTAACCCTTCACCTGCCAGCAGTGTGTCACCTGAAAATCCTATCCCCCAATTGTGCTGTATCCCTGACATGCCTTGGGCTTGGATCCAGAGCAGTATGCTGTATCCCTGACAGTATTCCAGACATGCCTTGGGCTTGGATCCAGAGCAGCCTTGGGCTTGGATCCAGAGCAGCATTTCTGTAGGTGCAAGTACCCATACAGCATGACTTTCTCACCTGACCACTTCCACAGCAACCCAAAATCACACACACACCCTGCTCCACAAATCCTGCTTGCCAGAGGGGTGGTAAGAGAGTCATGCTCTGCAGAGGAAGCCCTTACAGCCATCGAAATGCTGTCCTGGAATGCCCTACCTTAGTGCGCAATCCATGGGGTAAAAGTAGTGTTTAGGGGAATGACATTTCAGGGGCAAGTAATTGGTAAGGGAAAATTAAGCATTCACTTTCATCATAGCAGCTGAACACATTGCTTGTCCTAAGGCCACTTCTCGTGTTATTTTTTTTCTACTGTGGAATGCTTGCATTTGAAAAAAAGTTTGGTTTACCATCTGATTAGGTAATTGTTCTTGATGAGCTTTATGAATTATTTTTTCTCAGCATTGTTTTGGATTGATTAACCATCTGTCTATGTGACAAATCAGCCAGATAATGACTTGATGTCAAGGTATATGTTTACCTTGGTCTGGGGCCTGTCTACCTGAGGGACCACCTTTCCCCGTATGTTCCCCCGAGGGCACTGAGATCCGAGACACAAAATCGCTTGGTCCCCCCTGGCCCTAGGAACTCTAAGCTAACATCAATAAGAACTAGGGCGTTTTCCCTAGCTGCGCCGGTACTATGGAATGAGCTCCCAAACGAAATTCGAGCTCTGCGGGATCTTCAACTATTCCGTAGAGCTGTAAAGACCGAGCTGTTCCGGCAAGCGTTTTAACAGTTCTGGTCACACTGACCGTTCCACATAAGTACTAGTACTTTATAACAGATGGCCGCCACATTCTTATTTTAATAAGCTGTATTTTGATATTGTATTGTATTGTTTTAGACCTGCTATTGTATTAATTGTATACTGGTTTTTAACTACTGTAAGCTGCCCTGAGTCGCCTAGGCGGGAGGGCGGAGTAAAAGTCTAACAAATAAATAAATAAAAATATTTAGCCATGGAAAGGAATATATGAATTAGTCCTAATAATTGTGATAATGATAGAAGCAGTTGTTAGATTCTGTCTGTATTTAAAGTTTGGTTTATTGTCTTGGTAACTTGGAAAAGTGGCAGATATTTTTTTAATGGATTTAAGGTCTTTCTTTTTTAAGGTCTTCTGCAATCCAATGAATATGATAATTTGAGGTCAAATTGGCTGAGAAATACACTAGAATCTTTCATCCCGGAATCATTGATGAATCTAGTTATCATTTCTCAGTTGGATGGAAGACAAATTGGAAATCTCCAGCCTGAAAGATTTGATAAGGTATCTCTCTGATGTGCTGACAACTTCATCGAACTCTGACTTACTCATTTCTTTTCTCCTGTTCTCTTTATCTCATTCTGATCACAACTTGCAGTGACTGTTCTTATTTTTTCCTATGTCAAAGAGAATAAGATAAATGACGTGTTGAGTTGGAAGATTTTGTGGAAGTGGATTTTCCCTGACTTCCCCTTCCGTCAGCAGCACCCTGTGCAAGAAGGAGCTGCTGGAAGGAGAAGAAAAATAACAAAGTTTTCCCATCCCACCCCCCAGTTTACAAGCAGAGCAATCCTACTTCCCAATATATTGCATGCCAAGTCATTCAGAGGGGTCCTGTACCCTTTAGCAGCTCTTTGAAAAACATGCTGCTGGAGTAAAGTGTGGAAAATCCACATCTGCAAACTCCCCTTCACAAGACTCAGGCACCAACTTTTTATTTTAAAATTGTGTTTTATCCTATTGTTCACAGGCTCAAACTATATATTTAACATGTGGTCCCAACAAAGACTTGCAGCAAAATGCCAGCTGTGAATTCCCTATGACAACTCAATTTAAAAGTGCCTCAGGGGCCCAGTTCTGCTCAGGACCATGGCATGTGGGAGAAGGGGCTCCTGGTTATCCCTTCCCCATGCCATTTTCCAGTGCTAAATGGCTCAGGGGGGCATTATTTGCCTTGTTGAGGGGATGCACATACAAGCATTCAGTGCACGTGCAGCCTCCTCGCTGGGGCATATAACTCCCCCAGGACTGTCTTGGGTTGGGAAAACAGCATGGGGGGGGGGGCAGAAACACCTCTTCCCTCCTTGCTATGATTCCAGTCTGAATTTCTAACTTGATGTGCCACATGGAACTTGGCAGCTGCCATATGGATGCAAGTCCCTGTGGCAATTATATATAAAATGTAATGTGGTCATTTGAGCCTTAGAAAGCTCTCAACAACTAATGCTGTAAACCTATTCAGTAAGCTCACAGTGACTTACATTGGGCTTTCTTCCAAAGTTGATTGGATCTGTTCTCTATTAGTTACAGCTTGGGGTGTTCTCAGCCCAATCTCTCTACTCACAGAATTGTTTTAATTGTATTATTAGACTGTTTTATTTTATTTTAACTTCCTGGACCTTTTCTGTTGGAAGAGGTAGGATGCTACTTTCCATGTTTTCAAACAAATAAGCATCCACAAAATCTATTTTGGGAACAGATTTTTCCCCCCATCTGTCAGGAAACAGTTCTCAGTTGTTTTGTGTTTCCCTAAATGTTGGGTGGAATTCTACCACTCAGGTAACTGTGGAGCCTTCTAGCCTAGAAAGAGCCTCTTCCAGTGGAGAAAGACATCTTGGGATGGAGGGCCCCACACTTATTTAAGTGGAATGGTAGGATAAAATCCAGTATTAAACAAAAAGTGTGTTGAAAATAATATGTAGAGCCTGAGACTCAAGTAATATTTTTAATGAATGGATTTTCATTACTAATTGTATGTACATAGATTGCTGTCAATATCTTTGTATTTTCTTATAATTTTTCTTATAATTGGTCATTCAGGTACTAGTGGATGCCCCATGCTCAAATGACAGAAGCTGGTTATTCTCTTCTGATATCCAGCAGGCTACCCTAAGGTTAGCACAAAGGAAAGAATTATCTGCTGTACAGATACAGCTGCTAAGGTAAGACATGATGTGAAGGAAAACTGCCTGAAATTCAATCATCTTCTGCCCTAAATTGAAGGGCATGCCAAATTGTATTCTGAGGCTGTTCATCTGCCACATGAAGCCAGTCATCATTTAAAGAGGCACACAGAGCTAGTCTTTCTTTTCATGATAACTGCCCTAATAAACATGTTAAACAGTAGGCTTGTATTTAGGACTTCATTGGATGGAGGAATAGAAAGGAGAGGGCAGGACTGTGGGAGTTTGCATTTGACTTTTCATGTTTGCTAAAAACACAGTTCCTGAATTTTAAAAAATGTCTCTATTTGTTTTGATTATTATGGGAAATAATTAATTGTTTGGCCAGTTTCAAAGGAAAATATCTAATAAGTGAAGAAAAAAATCATACTAAGAAAACAAATGGAGCACTATGAAAGAAACAGTACTAGGGAAGAACTGGGCTCAAGCTAAAGACTAGATCACGGATTTGCAGTAATGATCCCTGTCATGTTACAGCCAGTTTAATCAGTACAGTGTCATACTTGGATCAGGAGACACAGGATCAAAACCCCTTTAGCCATAAATTTCACTGGATGATATTAGGGTAGCAGAGAGGTAAGGGAATGGATCATGCACAAAAATATCTGCTGATGGAATGGATTTCTTTCAGCAGAGTGAATCTTTTGCATCCTCTCCTGCTACAGCCCAAAATATTCTTCCCAGATAGCCTGATCCTGGGAACAGGACCCCCAGGAATACAATGCAGGATTAGTTGGAGGGCTTGCCATGGGTGGAGGAACTGGAAAAAATCCCTCTCCTATCTATGGAAATTTCCCACTAGATCCAATTTTAACTGGCTGGCCTATTTCACTGGATTATTAGAATAAAATAGAGAGAGGAGGCACGCTGAGCTCCTTCAAGGAAGTATGGAACATCAACGTAATACATAAATATAGTTACCTAGAAGAAAGAGAACCCAGAATGTAAGACAGCCCCCACCCAAAATAAAAGTTATACACATCAGTATTTTTACTGTACATACCTGTAACTAGCACATGAATTTAAAATGACCACAAGCCCCGTCTCTCTCTCATTTACATATGTGGAAAATCCTAGTCATTACTAATTGTATGTAGAAATGTAACTGTAATTGAAACCATAGTCAGAGGTTTTTTTATTTGTGAACAGTGTTTACAGGGTCTAGCAGAAAGTAAGAATATCCTCTACAGCATAGGGTCATGTTATTCTTTCTGTTAAATAGTGTAATCCAGCCTCCAAAGCAACCATTTTCTCCAGGGAGACAGATCTCCACTGTCTAGAGTTCAGTTCAGAGGGGACAGAAAGAGAGAGGAAGTAACATGCATGGAGAAGAGACAGAGAGTAAGGAAAGGAGGGCAGAAGGGAAAATGAGTGTGAGAGAGGAAGAGGGGAGGAAGCAAAGCTGTGAGGAATGGGATAACTAACCTGCAAGTTTATTGCGGGTCTCTATATACTAATGGCCAAATGTTTGGATTCTTAAATCCAGTGACTGGAGCTGTAAACGGGCAAGACAGATCTTTCTACAACCCTGAAAAAAAGGTTTGCAGAAAAATATGAAATCTAAACAAAAATACATGGGGGGTTTAAAAACCCCAAATGATAAAAGGAGCACCTGTAGTTTTAAACAATGGATTCCCTCAGTGGCTGTTGCTAGGCAACCACAGCATTCCAAGGCTTGGTTCTGTCAGTAAAAGGCAGAGGGGTAGGGCTCTTTCCAGCCGTATTTTGGCCTTTGATGCAGGACTCATTAGGGCCAGGCCTGACTAGGGTTGCCAGCTCCAGATTGGGAAATTCATGGAGATTTTGTGATGCAGTGCAGGGTTTGGTGAGGGGAGAGGCCTGAGCTGGATATAATGCCATAGAGTTCAGCATCCAATGAGGCTATTTTCTCCAGGGAACAGATCTGTGTCATCTGGATTTCAATTCTAATTCTCAGAAATCTCCAGGTCCCAACTGGAGGTTGGTAACCTTGGGCCTGGCAGCAACCTCTGGGTTATTTGATACCACCCTACTTGCATGACTTATTAGGCCTAACTGCTTGCAACTGTTCAACAGCAGCCACCCTGTGAAAGCCAGAGTGGTGAAAGCCAGTAGGGTCTGGGAGACCCAGGTTTGAATCCCCATCTTTCAGCCTAGCCTCCTTCATGGGGTTGTTCTGTGAACAAAAAGGAGAGGAGAATAATATGAGCTGCTTTCGTCTTTACTATGGACAAAGGTGGGGTATAAATGAAGTGAATCAATAATAAATATAGCCAGGGGTCATTTCACAGAAAAAGAGGTGCAGGAGTGCATTAGCATAACTTATTTGCATATGCCACACCCCCTGGCATCACTGGAATTGTGTCAGAAGGCAACACCCACCGCTCAGGCTCCACTGGACTGTTTTGGATTGCTAGCTATTGGGGAGGGGGGGAACCTGCAGATCTGTCCTTGCAGAGGAGGGAGAGCTTGTACCTGAATAAACCTTGGTCTTAAAAGTGCCACTGGACTGTTTTGGGCCAGGGGGGCTCTGCAGTTTACCTGACTGCTTCTTACCCTGACAGAGGGCTACTGGGAGCAGGGGGTGGAGCTTGTTGCATGTGCCCGCGCCCTGGGCTCTTTACTTCCGGAGCTCCGCTCCTGTGTGCTCCTGCAGGAAATGACCCCTGAATATAGTTGAAGATGGAAGGCAGACAAAAGGAAGGTTGGTGAATGGCTGAGAAGGAGGGAAGGAGGAGGGGGATAAGGGGGTTGTGAGAGGGAGAGAAAGAGGAAATAGTGTGGGGAGAGGGATACAGGGGAAAATGAGGTGTGACCCCACAAGTCTTCGAGGGTTCTCCACCAAGCAAGTGGCCCCTGCCTAGTGGATGGCACTCCAGAACTGGGCTACAATTTTCTAGGTAGAGGTTGCGGGCGAGGGGGTTAAGACAGAGGTTTGCCAACTCCAGCTTATGAAATTCCTAGAGACCTGCAAGGGGGGGGGGGAGGAGGAGGGAAGGGATCTCAGGGGTACAATGACATAGACTCTACCCTCCAAAGCAGCCATTTCTTCCAAGGGAATTAAAGTTGCTAATGTCCAGGTGGGGGCTGGAGATCACCCGGAATTGCAATTGTTTTCCAGATGACAAATATCAGTTCCCCTAAAGCAAATGGCTGCTTTGGAGGGTGGACTTGCTTCCCTCTCCAAACCTTGCCCTCCCAGGGTTCCACTCCCAAATCTCCAGGCATTTCCTAAACTGGAGCTGGGAACCCTAAGTGGATGGGACCAATCTCTGTAGCTGGGAGATCTGTGGTAATTCCAGGAGTTTTCCAGACTTGATTTGTATCCTGCCCTCCCTGCCAGAGCAGGCTCAGGGCGGCTCACATTAAAAGATTAAAATACAATAAAACACAAATACCTTACATACAAACACCTCATAAAATTCATATACTTTAGAGATACAGTTCACAAATAAGTACAATTAAAGTGCTAGTGGTGGTAACTCTTGGTCCTGATGTCGTAGATGTAACAGGAAGTATAGCCAAAGGATGTTACTGTTGACATCGCAGGCAGACGCAGTTGTCGTGGAGGGCCTTATCCCAGTTCAATGTTGTTAGTAGCGGCTCCTAATCGAAGGCCTGGTGGAAGAGCTCTGTTTTACAGGCCCTGCAGAACTGTAAAAGTTCCCTCAGGACCCTGATGTCTTCTGGGAGCTCATTCCCCCAGTATGGAGCCACTACTGAGAAGGCCCTGGCATCTTTCAGTCCAGGGAGGGCCATGCGGTTTTGGGACCCTGACCTCAGTGCTCTCTGGGGAACATGAGGGGAAAGGCGGTCCTTCAAGTAGGCATATAGGGCTTTAAAGGTCAAAACCTTGAAGCGAATCCAGTATGCTATCGGCAGCCACTGCAGTGCTTTCAGCACAGGCTGGATGTGCTCCCTCACAGGGACACCCTGGTTAGTATTTGGATAGGATACCACCAAGCAACTCACTACTCAGAGGCAGGTGATGGCAAACCACCTCTTGCCTTGAAAACCGTATGGGCTTGCTATAAGCTGGCTGCAACTTGACAACACTTTCCACCACATGGGCACAATTATCTGGGAAGATTCCCTGTACAGGTCCCCTTGAAGTGAATGGGAGTTTGCATAGAAAATCATCCCAGTATACAACGTCTTGTATTTTTGGTATAGGCATATCCTTCATAAGTAGTGGAAGATTTGCTATGTAGTTGGTCAACTGCTATGTACCGTCTTTGCCCGAAAATAAGACACTGTCAGATTGACCTGAGTCAGATTGAGGTGCTAACTTGCTATCTAGGTTTTACTTCTATCCTGGGGGGGACCTTGTAACTTGGAATGCATTGTTTTACTGGTGCTTAAATTACAGCCTTTGAGTTTTGTTTTACAGAGGTAAATAGAAACGATTAGGGATTTTAAAGGTAGAGCCATATAATATTATAAAGATATTTGAGAGAAGGGTGGCTGATGGCTGAGTTAAAAAGGATTTTTTCCCCATCCTCAGTCATTTTCTGCTGCTATATATTATTTTATGGCTATTGATCAAATATTAAAGCTTTTTTTATGTAGTGCTGTGTTTCACTTCAGAAGTATCCCAGCTGTCAGGATGAATTGAGAGAGAAATAAAATAGTTTGTTTCCCTAAAAGTAGGGTTCTTTATGGAAAGCTCTGTAATGGCAGTCCTTATTGTCTTCTTTTGTTTTTCATGATTTCCTGAGGAAAAAGTCTAAAAGAAGCTCGTGATTTATAACCGAAATATGAGTGTCTTATTGCAGTAATGCATCATGTCAGCCATTTCCTTTGAAGAAATCAATCACATTTAACACTGACCTCCTTCAGTTTTCTCTTTCCAATATTTGACATGTAAAATCTAATTTGTGACCCCCCGACTCAAGAAAGCATACATCATTCAGTGACTTTTTTGCAAATTTGAATAAATCATTCTAGGTTATAATCCTGAAGTAGAACATTCTTGACAGCAACAAACCAAAATAGCCAGT